TCTATCTATCTATCTATCTATCTATCTATCTATCTATCTATCTATCTATCTATCTAGAGTCCTTATATAGGGAGCAATATAATAGCATATGGCTTAGTGTTTCTATTGAGCCATTTCCACATGGACATCATTGAAGGTGCATAGGAATCCCCTTAAAACATCCAAAAAGGACCGTTGAGGGCAATGTGTCCATTCTAGCTAGGGTGAAAGCTTTACGAAATTTCCGAATTGTAATAGATGTTAGATAAGAAGCTGGAATGAACCCTTGTGGTAGAAACTGACAAATATTGGGGGTGCAGCACCTTACTTAAATTTGTTTGTAAATCTGTATCCCAGATACGTTGTTTAAGGGCGGTTTTAGCATTATCACATCCTAATAAGCACAGAGTTTGCACAGAGAAGCCCAGCAATTGAATTCTATCTATGGCTTGTTGGATGAAAGAGGCTGAAACTGTTGTCATCCAAAGTGGCTTTAATTAGTGAATTACTTTTCCTGCTTCTCTTCAACCCTGACATTGACAAATTCTACCTTCTTTACAGCCTGGATTACAGTCGTGGGTCTCTTCTACCACTCTATGCACCAGTACTTCCATAGCATCAAACCGACGGACACCAAGTAAGTTCCTTTAAAAACCCAACACACTTGTGATTATTCCTGAATATGTGAGTGAATGGATTTGTGTGGCTTAATGCAACACTGGAGGTGTGGGAGGCCATGTGTGACCTGCCTTTTGGGGGGTAACATTTCTCTACCTCCCCCCTTTTTTTGCATTTTGGGGTCTTTAAAGGGGCAAAATGGTTTAAGATGCCTGTTTGATTTATTACCATGTTGCAGCCTCTTCTCCAAATAGTCCAAGTTCCATTTCAGAAGTTTTGCTGCCGAAGTTGTGTGCAAAATGGATTGTGCCCCCTTTGAGTCCACAAGAAGAGATACGGATGGGTATGGCCAAAGGTTGAGTGAGAGAGAACTTCTTCCTTCTCTTCGCTTCATCACTCTATTTTGTTTTAATGTACAAAAATAGAGAAGAAAGAGGGGGGAAAAAACAGAAAGCAAAAATCTGAGAAAAAGCACAGCAACAGCAAAAAGAAAAAAACAACAACCCCAAAACAGAAAGTGGGTTGAGGAAATCAACCCTAATTTTTAAACAGAGGGCCCGTTTGGTGTAGGGATTAAGGCAGCAGGCTAGAAACTGGGAGACTCTGAATTCTAGTCCTGCCTTTGGCATGAAGCCAGCTGGGGGACCTTGGGCCAGTCCCTCCCTCTCAGCCCTAGGAAGGAGACAATGGACAACCACTTCTGAAATCTTGCCAAGAAAACCGCAGGGACTTGTCCAGCCAGTCACCAAGAATCAACACTGGCTTGATATCAATCAATCAATAAAACTTTAAACATGTCATTAAACCTTCGTCACCAAATATCAATCCGTCTTTCCATTCCATCGATAGACAGGTCGCTCGTAAACAGAGAGCCGGCATGCTTCGGTGATCCAGACTGTAAATCTGGGGAAATGTGAAGGGTGAAGGCTGCCTGAAACCCATTGCGTGGGTGGATGGGGTCCTCGGGGTTGATCTGTGTCTTTCGATCATGTTGCTGAAGAGAGGCAGGTGGGCCTCAACTTTCGCCAGTCCGTTCTCTCCTGCAGAAGTGCAAATCTGTGCTGTTTCTTCTGGAGATGCTGTTTCTGTTTTTTTCCACTTTCCAAAACCTCTTTGGAGCATATTTTCCAATTTTTTCTTAAAAAAACATTATTATGGTTGGTCGCACAGTCATCCAGATGTTTAGACTGGATTTGGCATTTTTATCCACCTATTGAGTCCTTCCCAAGGACCTGGGATAGGTAGATGTTATTGATGTTATTGTTATTATTATTAGTATTTCTGCAAACTTCTGGGTCCCCCTGAGCACACTGAGATTTCCCCTCGCATATGTACGTGTGTGCACATCTATTTTTTGGCAATGTATGGATTAACACTCAGCTCTAAAGCATCTGGGAAGACGGAGAACGCTTTCACGTCTCCTGCCATGTCTGTAGGAGCAGTTGGGTGTGCCAAGTCCTCCTTCCACCACTGCCTCAGAGGTCCCTTTCCAAAGTGCTTGGAAAAATAGGCCAGTGAGATGATTTTTTTTTTTCACTAACATTTTCATCGCCCGCTTTCAGCCGGAATGGACTCCGCAGCATTTTAGAGCAGCTAAACTCTGGTGTCAAAGAGTTACAGAGATAAAGCTGCACAATTGAGAGAAATTAACCTCCCCAGCAAGAGATCTACGAGGCCAACAGTGGTGATTTTGGGAGCCAGTTTTAAGGCAATTCTGGCGACAGTTGTCAGGCTGTTCTTAGATGAGAAGAGGTCCTTCTCCATTTGATAAGGGATAAAGCGTAAAGTGAGAGGTGTGAGGTTATATGACAAGTAAAACGGAATAAGGGATGACATTGAAAACGTGTGACGGAGTTCACCTAGTACATTAAACTACGATGCGATTCACTTGGGACTTTTTTGCTCCTGGCAAAGAGGATAGCTGGACCATGGCTTTGTAATCAGTCTGTAGAGTTGAGGCATCTTCTCTCCATTCAGAAGATCCCAGATTCAGACGATGTTGTTGTTGTTCAGTCGTTAGCCCGCCCACAGATCTCTTGCATCCTGCCTGTTTTAGCTCTGATGTGCAAATTCATTCCCCTTCTGCCTAACTCAGCCCTAGTTACTTTCTCCTGATTGGCACTGATGAGACTCACTTACCTTACCCAGTTGCTATATTTGCAATAATGGATAAAGAAACCTTTTGTACACCCTGAATCCCAGGGGAACTAGGCTCTGATCCTCCTCAAATGTCCTCCTCAAAGTCCAGAGGGGTTGCATTTCTCAAACAGCAGCCCCTCCAGGGCCTGAAGGAGACCTCCTTTTGAAGTGAGGAGGGGTCTTTCCCAAGCAGATTGTGGTCTGGATTGACAGTGTGGCACTCAAATCCAGATTTCTCACTGGAAATGCTCAGTAATTGTTTGGATCCCTGCATATACAAGTTCTATATATTATCATGATCGCTAAGCCTCACTTCCTCCCCAATTGACTCTCCGCTTCCCTCGCAAAGGTCTTATCTCATTGAACTTTAAATCGCATGATGGACTGAAGCTAATCTAGTTATGAGATGTAATATCCTTCCTCTTCCACTTTTCCCATAAGCCAAGGGCTAATTTACACCTTGCCAAAGCAGATAACCACTTCAGAATCTGTTTACTTTCTGCATTGCACCAGCACGGATTTAAATTACGGCAACTCGCAGCAATATACCAATCACAAAGAGATCTCTTCCCTGACCCAGGAATTTTCCAAGCCTATCGATAAAGTATCACCCACTCAGGTAGCCTGTCAAAACTGATTTATTTATTGAAATAATCATTGCTGAATGAAACAGACCTAGGGAGTGGCTATATCTCATTCTTTCTCTGGCCTCAACTACAAGTTTCCAGAAGTTTATTTAAAGAGGATAGACCTGTTTTGCCTGTAGAAGAACCAAAGTATAATTTGCATTACATCCCTTTCAAGCCAAGTTTCTCAACCTGGACAGCTTTCAGATGTCTCAACTTCAACTCCCAGAATTCTCCAGCCAGCATTGTTGTGGCTGAGAATTTTTTTTTTTAATCGAATTTTTATTAAAGATTTTTTTTTAAAAGGAAAACAAAAGCTAGTACAAACTAATATAAAGGGAGAAAAAAGAAAAGAAGAAGAAAGAAATCAACGAGAAAGCTAAAAGGGCAAGAAAGGAAAGAAAAGAAGTAAAAGAAAAATAGAAAAGAGAGAAAAATGACACAAAGAAGTAGCTTCTAAACTTCTTTACAGCAGTTATAAGTACAATTATAAGTTTACCTTTTACTGTATGGTTACAACATCACCCTCTTCTTTCTATAAACTATCCTGTCTAATCATCAAAATCATAAATCATAGGTTCATTTTTTTCTGTTTTAACTAAAATGTCTATAAGGGGTTTCCAGTCAGCAATAAACATAGATATTGTCTTTTCTTTGATCAAAGAAGCCAATTTAGCCATCTCAGCCACAGCTGAGAATTCTGGGAGTTGAAGTCCACGTATTTGAAAGTTGCCCAGGCTGAGAAAAGTGCTTTAAAGTATCTCAGGTAGCAAGTTCTGCATAGCGGTTTTGAGAGATCTTCCAAGTCCTTTCCTATGGAAACCTGTGAAAGATGTCTTGTATATCCTGGGCAAAGACTGAGAAATTGACCTGCCCCAACAAGTGGTGAAACTGATTCCTCTTAAGTGTTAATTTCAAAGTGACACAAGCTTTGGAAGTTGTGGTTTGGAGCACGGGAAGAGTTTGTTTCACTCTCCCACTTTCTAGTGAAAACATCTGGCTTTCTCCAAAATGCTGTTGCAAATAGCAATGCTGAAAGTGGTAAACTTTAATTGCTCCCACAATCCACTTCTCCATAGGGAATCTAATTTTTTTGCAGTAAAAACAGAAACAAATGCCTATATTATGAAGGGGCTTGGCAACAACTCTTTCCCGTTAGAATAGTTTAAGTCTCCCTTTAGACTCCCTTAATCAAATAACGAAGTTGCTTCTGATATATTTGGCAAATGCCAGCTGTTAAATTCAGTTCTTTGGACAAAGTCGTAATTCCAAAACATAAAAATAAAAATGTTTGGCATTTTACCATGTATGCGTGGAGACACACACACACATACACACACCCAGTTATCTAAGGAATGCTAGCTAGTCATAAGAATGAAAGAGAGCCAGATTGGCTCATCAGAAAATGCATTTGAGGACTGCATTAATTAAAAATAATAATAACATATCCCTTGAGGCATGTCCATGTAGCTTTCTTGGCAAAAAAGGAGTTTGCTAAGCAGAGTTGAGACTGGTTAGTTTGTGAAGGGGAACCCATCTGGAGATGACTAAGCTGAAGGTGGACAGTTGAAACATACCTCTGGAAGAAGGCAGTAGCAAACCAAGTCCATGTTGTTGCCAAGAAAACTTGATGGACATGTCCTTGAAGTCACCAGGAGTCAAATATCATTTAAAGAAGACTTTATCTTGCTTATCATGTTTTTGAGACCAAAGGTAGGTGCCCAAGTGGAAAGTATCACCCCACCCCCCCCAGATAAACAGCATATATTTTAAAATCTGCAAGGCAGAATAATAACCAACCCAACTCTTTCAAAAACGCCAAGTTGGTTGGCTCTGGGTTTTCTCTGGGGGCCCTTTCCCCACCGGCCTAGAGTCTGTCAAAACGACTCCCATCCATTAAAAACCCCTTAAGTGGTTTGCTCGATGACAGTTGATAGAAAACCCTCACTTTCAGCTCATTTGCAACAGGACAGATTTGCCTCCTTGAAAGCTGGGGAGCCGAAAAAGCAGGACTTAGGATGTGAAATGTCATAAATGCAGAAGTTTGTCATTCACTTCACCCAAGAGTGAAGCTAGCCGAGCAAAATCTAGCCCCCCGGGGGGACAGAAAGGAGGGAGATGGCAATTCTATTATTTAAACATTGCTTGTCAAACGTTCCCTCCAGCTAAGGAAATATCTTTGCTGGCTGGCTTTCTAATCACAGCTTGTGCCAGTTCGGCTTCTCTCGGCATCCTGGTTTAAATTATGGTACCTCTGAGAAGCAAACATTTTCCTGGGACAAGATGGGCCTCTTTCATAACAGGACTATAAATAATGGGCCAAAAGAATAATTTCAGGGGAAAAAAAAGAATGAGAGAGAGAGAGAGAGAGAGAGAGAGAGAGAAACTCTCTCTGAACTGCAATGCCTGAACCCTTGGTGGAAATTTTGGAATCTTGGTTTTACAGTGATTTATCTCTAGGTGCTGAAGGCGTGTGGCCGTCAGCCTGTGTCACTGTCAGAAAGACCTTCTTAGGGAGTTTAAAAATGCAATGAAGGGCATTCTTTCTTTTAATCAGAGGGAGAGGGGGACTTGTTTGCCTTGCCCAGGTCTCACAGAGGAAAGCAAAGTTGAACCATCCAAGATCATAAAACCAGGTCAGGTTGCCTCCCCACAAATCTGTAGACAACACCTTGCTCCAGATCCACTTGGAGGATCAAAGCAATCCTTTTCAGGGTCTGTAAAATGGTTCCAAGCAAGCAAGAGTCTCTTGGAGGTCCTGTAGAAGTCAAAGTATCCAGATTGATGAGCAAGGTCAGAACATTCATAAGCAGAGTACCATTAATATTCTTCCAGAAATTGGGTAGAACTGGGCAAAGGCTTCTAACCTGGAGGTTCTTGGACTTCATTTGAGGACAACTGGTGGTACTCAGATTAAGTTGCATTGTTGGTCTCCTCGGGAGCAATAGTTGGGCTAGTCTGAGTGAGCATGGCGCTTTCTATCCCTGTGTGGATGAATCTGGTCTTCTCCTATGTGGCCTCGGTCTCTTGGTTGCCACAAAGCATGGACAGAGTGGAAGAGCGGCTTGGGGCCTGGGTCTTCCATCACTCTGTTCCTCTAAGTAGCTGTGATTTTACATTTTAGAGATAAATATACATTTGGGCTGTATAACTCTCACTGCTGTCAAAGGATTTTTGCCTTTAATATTTTTTGTGAGTGTTGTCAAACCTTTTGTTTGGCATGTTTTGGAGATGTTAATTTCCCTTCCCTTCCCTTCCCTTCCCTTCTTCATCCATTTCCTTTCCTTTCCTTTCCTTTCCTTTCCTTTCCTTTCCTTTCCTTTCCTTTCCTTTCCTTTCCTTTCTCCATTTACCCCTTTCCCCTTCCTTCCTTCACTCCTTAGATAGGTAACTGCCCAAATAAGGATGGGTGTCTGAAGAAATGAAATAAGACACAGGTAACTAATAAGCTGTTGGTTTATTTGCCAGCATTCCTGAAGCCGCTGCCTGCAAGGAGTGTATGATTTTTGCTACTAGCTACATCATCTCTTTGAAAATGGAGCCACCCCCAACCCTGTCTCACAATCTGTCAGGTTCTCCCCTCATCACCATCCATATGAAGCACCGACTGGTAAGTGGTGATGAATCTTTCAGGGTTTTTTTTCTTTTCTTTGTGGTGACGAAAAAACTGGGGGGGGGGTAGCTTTGCACTCCCATAATGTGTGATTCTCAAAGTGAGAAAACTTTTATGTTAAAGCACTTTTAAGCATTAAAAAACAAAAAAACAAAAAACCCCTGATAAATAATTCAGGAGACGATTCTACGAACAGTCGTTGGCAAACTCCTGGTTCACAGGGAGGCTGTGAAAAAGTCAGTGAACACTCCACCCTCATGTATGTGGGTATTAACTGCAGAGGGGAAATAGTTCAGTTGGTGGAATTCTTGCAACCCTACCTTAATCCATCTTGCTAAGCAGACTGTGAGAAAACAAACTGATGTGAGTTTTAGGCAGAGGGCAAGAGCTTGACAACCCAATAAAGATCAAACATGAAATTGGGTTTAGATTTGAATGCTTCGACACATGTTTAATTTAATGTAGCATAGGTAGAGATGGGTATGTTCCAAAAAGAAAAAGAAAAAAAGAATCTGGGGTGGATTGTTACGGGAACCAATTCCCAAAATCTACCAAAGTCAACTTAAGCTGTCGAATGAAGTCACTACCCATTTTTCTCTGGTCAAAATTTAACCTTCCTCCCTTTTTCGTTTCCAAATATCTGTCGGAAAAAGAACCTGTGCTTCTGGGAAACATTAAATCAAAACACACCGAGAGACAGAAAAAGACCTATTGACTAGAATATTGCTCTAGAAACATGGATATAAAATGGGCTGAGTTTTTACAGATCCTCAGATCTTGGCAATAGGCTGAGATAGTAGAAACAAGGTCTCTGTATCCTCTCTTATTTGTTACGGAAGGAGAAGTTGACATGTGGTTTAATAGACATATTTTCTGTCAACTGCAATATAATAGGATTACTAATTGATTTGCTGCAGATGCTGGATCTCAGGCGGGAGGGTGGGGTAAATTACGAACACAGCTATTGATTTTTTTTCTTCCTTAGCTTGAGATTGAATGGAAAGTTTTTATGAATGGCTGAAAGGTCATCGCATCTCCACAACTTTGTCGCTGAGCTCTTGTCTCGGATAAGCCAACTAACCTGAATGTAACTTGGGCTGGTTGTTTCCATGAGTCAAGTTTCAAAATACTTTCTTGCTATTATGGGGCAGGAACTGGGCTAGATTTTTGTGGACAGCAAAAGCTGATTAGCTGTTTCTCCTTCCCTGAACTCGGCTGGTTGGTTGCTGTTGTAGTTGTGGAAGTAACACCGTGCTATGGCTGTGCTGGGCGTCAAGCTCCTGGCAACAGATTGTCACAAAGTCCTCTATAGTTGGATTGATCGAAAGGGAGAAGGGATTCAGTGACAGAAATCTCAGCTATTTGATGCTTCTACTTTTGAACTTTATCTCTCAGTTGTTAGGGTGGATTTCTTAATTCCCTTGATGAAAATCATGTGATAAACAAGGGAGGTGGCTAGTCGTTTTTCTGATAATGGAGGAATGTGCAGATGTTCTGAGCTAGAGGAACGTGCTTCAAATATTTTATCCACTTTCTCAGGTTCTGAGAAGCCCATAACATTGGAAACTGAACTGGAGTGGCCGATACTGTGTTTTCCTTCTCTAGAAAATCCTGCATCTAAGGTGTACTGTATAGACTTCTCTTGCCCTTATATTAACACCTGGAACACTGTTTTTTGGTTGCTTCATCTCAGAACCTTGTAGAATTGCCCTGATTGATCCACCTCACATTCTTACAAAACTCTGAGCATTTCTTCGCATGACCCCATCTTAAAAAGGAGGAAATTCAAAATTTGGGTAGCATGCAGAACAAGGCAGCTGAAACCATCCAAAGGACGGTGCGCTTTCTTTCTCAGCACCCATCTCTGAAAAAGCTACCACCTCCTCCAGACGATGGTTGAAATCCAGCCAACCAAATCCAGTGTGCTTTTATTTGGGGGGGGGGGGGGGGGGAAGCTGTTATTTTTCTTTGGTTTTCCCTCTTGATCAAAGATCAGTTCAGTATGCTGGGTACACTTCATCCTGGCAGGTTTAGAAGGGAAGGAGGGTTTGGTTTGGAAGGGGCTGAGGGCTATGAATTCTTTGGGAGTCTAGGCATCTGGGGCCAAGCCCAGCTTAAAAGGTATGCTTCTGAATGTCATTCCTCATTCCCCCAACATGATTCTTGTTCTTTTGATTCTCTGAAAACAGTAGAAATAATAACCCAGATGGATTCAAAACCTTCGTCCTTTGTTTGACCCCATTCCTGCCTCATCTAAATATAGGCTGTTTCTGCTGAACTGGCGATCCTGCCTCTTAATCTTCTGTCCTAATTCCATGCAATGCCATTTTCAGCTGATGACTGGGAAAGCTTCTGCTCAGTTGGAGGACCTCTGCACTGCATGCAGAAGTCGCAGGGTTGAACCTGCCTGCAACAACGGGGAACTGCTGCAGGTTGGAATAGACAATGTTGGCTAGATAAGGGCTGGCTATGGCCCTGGCTCAGTGGGAGAGCTTTGCATAGAGAAGGTCCCAGGTTCAATCTCCACCATCTCCAGGTGGAGTTGGAAACCTCTTTCTTAGAACAGCCCTCCAAGTTGAGAGTGCAGGCTGGATGGACCCATGGTGGAGATCCTTGGTCGAGGAGCCCCATCTCAGTGGGAAAACATCTGCTCTGCGTGCCAAATATCCCAGGTTCAGTCTTAAGCATGTCCAGTTGAAGAGATAGAAGACGAGAAAGATTTCCTCTGAAATTGTAGATGGCCAATGCCACTTATACTGGACTCCATGAGGTGCTGGTCTAATCTGATGTAAAGCAGCTTTCAAGACTCGGGTGAAAATCATAGCTCAAAGCTGAAGCATGTGATTTAGGATGGTCAGGAGCCAAAATGGGCCTCCTTCTGAGAGAGGTTGGGTATTTTTAAGGAGTGGAATGGCTGCCTTTCGCTATTATTGTCCTGCAGCTCCAGGGAGATGGGCTGATTCCACCTCTCTCATGTCCAGATTTACTCATTTCCACGGGAAGAAAAATAGATTATTCTGACTTACTCCGTCGAGTTTGTTGCTGCGCAGTTAATTCAACAGGTTTGGTTGGGGAGAGGGCAGGGATTGCTCCAGATTTCTGCCAGATACTCTGATCTCTCTGTCTCTCTGGCACCTAACTCAGAACCTGGAACCCCCGTTTTGATGACCACAAGAAGTGGTTTTGATGGTCCGCTGCTTTTACGACCGTCTCATTGATTTGGACGCCCTTGGTGCCACAGTATCCAAAGAGTGAAAGAAAACTGAACAAGGCTTTCTTCTCAGCGAGCGAGCGAACGTGTGCGTGATTTTGCTTAAAATATATCGCTTTAGAAACATACAACTGGATTTATTCAATGCAGCCTACATTAAAATGTAGTAAATCAAGCCAACGTGTATTAAAACAGTCTAGGTAGCAAAAGATATATATATCTTTATATCTTTAGAGATATATATATAAAAACCAAATGGTTAGAAGAGTGCCATGGTGATGTTCGCGTGGGAATGATTTCACTTCCAGGAAAGCCTAAATTGTCCACAGATTGGGATCCAGCATTACTATTGTTCAGAACTTCTGCCTATTATCTTATGTGCATACATTACGTAAGCCATTATCTTCCACGCAGCATTGTTGCATTTTATAACCTTCTAATATATAGCTTCTTGGAGCGTGATTCACGGTTTGTTCTGGAAGTCATTACGGATGACAGTTTGATATCTTAAACAAGCAGCTTGGCCAATCATTCTTTGTGAACGAGAGAGATCGAGAGCATGCGTCCTTCTTCTCACCCTACGGCCGCACCTAACTTCTCCACGGGAGGCTACACCCCCCCCATATTAGGGGGTGGGCCAGGAGCAAAACTGGGTCTGACGGGGAGGGCTACATCACCATAGAACAAACAGAAACAGGGCCTCTGATGGCTTATGGTGAGGTATGAATTCAGTCTAAAGTGGCTTGCTATAAGGCATGTTTTGATGAATAAATCATAAAGTCTGTCTATTTTCTCATGGAGGAAAATGGGGCGCTCGGTCTCCCAGTAGGGAATGGGAAATTTGACAGGGGAAAGAAAAGAGGCCGTGAAGATGGACTTAAGTTTAAGGAGTATTTACAGCTCTTATAAAAAGAAATCTTTCAACTGCCTGCAGCCACATGGAATTGAGGCAACAAGAGACACGTCTGTCATGCCAACATCTCCTCAATAATTAAAGATTTTCATAGCCAAGGGTTTTCCATTTTTCCCCCCATCTTTCTTTTTAACTGTTACCCACAGCTTTTCTGGAAGCTGGTGGTTTTATTCTTTTGAGAAAGTTTATTTCTGTTTTTGAAAGCAAAGCATCTTTGCACTTGGTCTCTCTCTCTCTCTCTTTCTCTCTCTCTGTTTTGTTTCGGTCCATGGGTCTTGTGTGCCAAATTGCCCACTTTTGATCTTAGACCAACGGTATCTCCAGCTTTAGTAGAGATTGTTTCTGCTTGCTTCGGCTTGGAGAAGTCTTTTTTTTTTTTTTAATCTATTCCCTTTCCCCCAGAACGAGGCAGAAGGCAGCACTATGTCCACATTTCCTGAGCTGATCAATTCCACTGAGAAATTGGAGCAATATTGCTGGGTTTATAAACTTCTAAGTGAATCCTGACAATATCTTATTTCCAAGAGCTGTGTGAGATTCAATTTACAGTCCTCTCCTGCAATTTGTCCTCCCCCCCCCCCCCCCCCCAAAGAATAGAGATGATCATGGCACAATCAAATTTTGCTTGCCTGTTTGTATCACTTAATCCTCCAGTCCTTCCTTCCTTCCTTCCTTCCTTCCTCCCTCCTATTACTCCTTCCTTCCTTCCTCCCTCCCTCCCTCCCTCCTATTACTCCTTCCTTCCTTCCTTCCTTCCTCCCTCCCTCCCTCCCTCCT